CTGATCAAACGCTTCAGGATGCGCAGACGGGGGAAGCGAGCCGGCGCGCTTGTGAAGCTCAGACAGCGCGGATTCAGGACGCCGTTGCCGAGCATCCATCTGGCGAATCTCCGCTCTCTACCCAACAAAACACACAAACTTCTTCTGCTCTCCCGGATAAATAAGGATTTTTCAAACTCTGCTGCTCTGTGTTTCACGGAAACCTGGCTGAAAGACGCCATTCCGGACAGCGCGTTGAGTCTGCTGGGTTTTCAGCTGTTCAGAGCGGATCGCGACGCAGAATCAACGGGGAAATCACGCGGCGGCGGGACATGTTTTACATCAATGAGAGGTGGTGTACAGATGTAACTGTGTTAAAGAAGATGTGCTGTTCAGATCTAGAAGTGCTCTTCATTAATTGCAAGCCGTTCTATTCGCCGCGGGAGTTTTGCTCGTTCATTCTCGTCAGTGTGTACATTCCTCCGCAAGCACACGTGAGCTCCGCTTTACAGAAACTCGCTGATCTGATCACAGACACAGAACAACACCCGGACTCTGTTTTAATCATTCTCGGGGACTTTAATAAAGCCAATCTCTCCCGTGAACTGCCAAAATACAGACAGCACATCACATGTCCCACCAGAGACAGTAATATATTGGATCACTGTTACACCACAATAAAGAATGCATATCACTCTGTCCCACGGGCAGCTTTGGGGCTCTCTGATCACTGCTTGGTTCATCTTATACCGACCTACAGGCAGAAACTGAAATCAGCTAAACCTGTATTAAGGACTGTAAAAAGATGGACTAATGAAGCAGAGCAGGATTTACAAGCTTGTTTTGACCTCACTGATTGGAGCGTTTTTGAATCTGCTGCCACCGATCTGGACGAGCTCACAGAGACTGTAACATCTTATATCAGTTTCTGTGAAGACATGTGCATTCCTACCAGGACTCACTTAACTTACAACAACGACAAACCATGGTTCACTGCAAAACTCAGACAGCTCCGTCAGGCCAAAGAAGATGCTCACAGGAAGGGGGATAATGTCTTGTATAAACAGGCTAAATACACACTGGAAAAGGAGATCAGAGTGGCAAAGAGGAATTATTCAGAAAAAATAAGGATTAAATTCTCTTCCAGTGACTCGGCATCAGTGTGGAAAAGTCTAAAAGAAATCACCAATTACAAGACACCATCCCCCAGCACTGCGGAGAATCAACACCTGGCAGACGATCTGAACGAGTTCTACTGCAGGTTTGAAAAGACACCCCACACCCGCTCTGAACACCTCTCCACACAACCATTCACACCTCCAGCAACCCCCCTCTCCCCCACACCTGCAATTCAGATCAGCGAAGACGAGGTGCGCCAGGTCTTCCGGAAGCAGAAAATGAGAAAAGCACCAGGTCCCAGACTGTGTTACACCAGTCTGTCTGAAATCCTGTGCTGACCAGCTGGCCCCCATCTTCACACAGATCTTCAACAGATCACTGGAGCTGTGCGAAGTCCCTTCATGCTTCAAACGCTCCACCATCATCCCCGTCCCAAAGAAACCCAAAATTACTGGACTTAATGACTACAGACCTGTGGCTCTAACGTCTGTGGTCATGAAGTCTTTTGAAAGACTGGTGCTGGCCCACCTGAAGGACATCACTGGACCCTTGCTGGATCCTCTTCAGTTTGCCTACAGAGCAAACAGGTCTGTGGACGATGCAGTAAACATGGGACTGCATTATGTTCTGCAACATCTAGACAGACCAGGGACTTATGTGAGGATCCTGTTCGTGGACTTCAGCTCGGCCTTTAACACCATCATCCCAAACCTCCTCCTGCCCAAACTAACTCAGCTCTCCGTGCCCACCTCCGTCTGTCAGTGGATCAACAGCTTCCTGACAGACAGGCAGCAGCTAGTGAGGCTGGGAAAATACACATCCAGCACCCGTACGATCAGCACTGGAGCTCCTCAGGGTTGTGTTCTCTCTCCACTGCTCTTCTCCTTGTACACCAACGACTGCACATCTAAAGACCCCTCTGTCAAGCTCCTGAAGTTTGCAGACGACACCACACTCATCGGCCTCATTCAGGACGGTGACGAGTCTGCTTACAGACAGGAGGTCGAGCAGCTGGCTGTCTGGTGCAGTCTCAACAACCTGGCGCTCAACACGCTAAAAACTGTGGAGATGACCGTGGACTTCAGGAGAAACCCCTCTGCACTCCCCCCACTCACCATCATGGACAGCACTGTGACTGCAGTGGAGTCATTCAGGTTCCTGGGCACCACAATCTCTCAGGACCTGAAGTGGGACACTCACATTGACTCCATTGTGAAAAAGGCCCAGCAGAGGTTGTACTTCCTTCGCCAGCTGAGGAAGTTCAACCTGCCACAGGAGCTGCTGAAACAGTTCTACTCCGCCATTATTGAATCTGTCCTCTGCACTTCAATAACTGTCTGGTTCAGCTCAGCTACCAAATCTGACCTCAGAAGACTTCAGAGGGTAGTCCGGACTGCTGAGTGAATCATTGGTACAACCCTCCCTTCTCTCCAAGAACTGTACTCGTCCAGAGTGAGCAAAAGGGCTGGCAGAATCACTCTGGATCCCTCACATCCAGCACACTCCCTCTTTGAACTGTTGCCATCTGGTCGACGCTACAGAGCTCTGAGCACCAGAACGACCAGACACAGGAACAGTTTCTTCCCTCAGGCCATCCATCTCATGAACACTTGACAATAACTGTGGAACACACACTATTTATTCACTCATACACTTATTTATCTAACACACACACTCAGTCTACATTTCAATTTGCACATAATATACCTGTACATACAACTGTCTATTGTTATATACCTGTACATACAATTGTCGATTTGTATATTTTTATTCCTTATTTACGTTCTATTTTTCTATTTTTTATTATCTGTGTTTTTGTTCTGTCACTGTCATTCTGTTACACTGTGGAGCTTCTGTCATGAAAACAAATTCCTCGTATGTGTAAACATACCTGGCAATAAAAACTCATTCTGATTCTTATTCTGATTCTGATTCTTTAAGTTAGAATTTTAACTTCAGGTTCTACTATAAAGCAGCTCTCCACTGTGTTCACGTTTTTACTCGATGGACCTAACAGAAGAAAATGAATCGTAGTTTGAAGGTGTTTACCAACTGGAGCAAACTTTTCCAGAAAGTTTGCTTTGGTAAGCTGTTTCAAATTTCTGAAACAAATTCAAAATGAACTTAGTTTTGGCCTGATTTTATTCGCAATGACGTCACATCAGTTAATCTTGGATTCCACTTCGATTTTGCTTACCTATTATGTAATCGGCATAGACCAGTGGTAATTAGAAGGCGGTTACCTGCTGGAGCAAAGTTTTCTGTAAAGTTTACTTTGGCTAGCTGTTTCAAACTCCCACAACAAACTCCAAACAAACTTTGTTTTGGCCTAATTTTGTTCGAAATGATGTCACATCAGTTTTAAATTTTTTTATTTTACTTGCTTTATTAGATAATCACTATAGACCAGTACTAGTTTGAATTCCACCTTTTCCTTAAAGTTTGCTTTGGCAAGCTGTTTCAAACTCCTGAAATGAACTACTAATGAAACTCGTTTTGGCCTAATTTTCGAAATGACGTCACATCAGTTTGTTCTTTGACTCCGCTTTCCTATTACATAATCACCAGTGGTAGTTCAGAGGTATTAACCAGCCAGACCAAACGTTTCCATAGAGTTTGCTTTCGCAAGCTGTTTCAAATTCCCAAAGCGAATTCCAAAATAACTTTATTTTGGCTTGATTTTGTTTGAAATGACGTCAGTTCATCTTGAACTTCACTTTGATTTTGCTTACCTATTACGTAATCGGCATAAACCAGTGGTAATTAGAAGATGTTTACCAGCTGGAGTGAAGTTTTCTGTAAATTTTACTTTGGCTAGCCATTTTGAACTCCCAAAATGAACTCCAAACAAACTTCATTTTGGTCTGTTTTTGTTCGAAATTACATCACATCAGTTCCTCTTCAATTCCACTTTGACTTTGCTTACCTATTACGTAATCACTATAGGCCGGTGGTAGTTTGAAGGTATTTACCAGCTTGAGAAAACTTTTCTATAAAATTTGTTTTGGAAAGCTGTTTCGAACTCCTGGAACAAACTCAAAATTAACTTTATTTTGGTTCGATTCTGTACGAAATGTCGTTACTTCAGTTCGTTCTTTGATTTCGACTGAAATATATATGGGCCTTATGGCTCTAGCCTTTCAAACATCCCTCTAAAATCAGATTGAAAGTGTTACCAACAACAGAAAAGTTTTCACATCCCAGACTTGTTTTGTGGGACCAAATCCTACATTTTAGTTTGTGTAGTAGATGCCCCATTTGCATCCAGCATTCCAGGGCAGCTGAGGACGTATAGATGCCCCACTGTCCGCCGGTCTCCTGGGTACAGCTGGATCAAACCTACATGAGAGCCCATGAGGAGGCGCCAACATCACAAGTGGTGCACAAAGAGAGCTCTCACTAAATTCATTGAGACTGTGTGTGATTGCTAATGTCCTTCTGAATGTTTGGCCTGCATGAACGTGCCCTTGTGCTGTGGGAGACAAGCAGCAAAGTGTTCGGTTTTTGCTGTAGGAAATTTATGCCTTCTACCGGTAAGCCACCAACCATGCCACCGGTGGGCCTGTGGCATGATGGGTAAACACAGGTAAAACCCATGCCAACAAAGGAACTCCTTCACGGCAAGGGAAATATCCCATTTTCAAATGTAAACTTGTGTGAGGAGGGAACCAAAACACTGTACAATGAACCAACAGTCAGACTTTTGCTGAATAAGGCACTGTAATCTTTGTATTTACACTTTAACGTTCAGCTAAATTGCATTTGTTCAGCTTTCCGCTTATATAAAATCCAGTTCAGACAATAAATCCCAGACCAGATGTTGCTTTTATCAAGGGAACTGTGTTGAAACACACATGCTTCGTTTCAGTGCAGATGAGTCAGGCATCATGAAGTCAGAGGAGACACTGGAAAAGCAGTTCATCTTCCTTCAATCCTGATAGAAGAGTTTCTAATAACACCATAACATCCTGCAGGAATGATCTAGAATAACAGACATGAGGCACTTAAGGCACCAAAAGACTTTTAGTTGACTTCCAGACTCTTTTTGTGCCTTTTTTTCTCTATTTCCGTCACAGATCATTCTATTTACAAAGCAAACATGCCTCCTCTTTGGGAACGACATAGTGGTGTTTATTCAGAGCATAAAATAATAGGCTAATCAGACCGGAAAGATAAACAGCATCTGCATTATCTCCTTTTCCATGTTGTGTTTGCAGGGATAACACCAAGCAATTGTGTCTCTATATGAAACTTGCAGCAATCTTGACTCTGTTGTGTGTCAACGCGAGCACTGTGACAGGTAGTGACATACCTAAAATAGTAAAATTGGGTAGTTTATAATTTGCCGTATGTATACGATTTTGTATCAGTTAGCAGTGTAACGATACACATATTCATATTGAACCGAGGCTTTTGGTTTGGTACGCATTACAAACCGAACGATTCATTGGACTAATCCTATTACATATGGAAAATAAAGAGCTTTAAGTGTGTGAAATATAATGTTCTCAGTGCCACTGCGCTCAACAAGGCAGCCCAAACGACGTAACGGGCAACGTGCTGTCTAGTGGATGGGCACGCAGGGCACGCAGGGCACGCACTGCGAAAGGCAGTAATAACTTCCTCTTGCAGGGGTGCGTCAAAAGACGATGATCTTGTATCAACGATAGCCAGAGATATTGTCAAAAACAACAATTATTGGCAATATTAATATATTTGACATTTCCAATTACCGTATTGGCCCAAACATAAGATGACCCCCTTTTTTTCCAGATGTACCTTTTGGAAAAAGGCTTTTTAAAAACAAAAATCTTGTTTTTTGCCTATTACATTCTTATTTTTATCAGGACTATTATTATTATTATGTATATTATTATATAATTTTATTATTAAATTAAAATTACAATTAATTTGCCCCGCAATATTAGCTACCGCATAACTGATGCGCTGCGAGGATAACAAAAGATTAGGCTATTTACTCCTCGATTAAAATGTTAAAAAAATGTATTTTAAAACGGGTCTATATACAATGAATTATAGGCCTATAATTAAAATATTAACTCAGCAGTCATCAATTAAAATCAATGAATAAAAAGCTTTAGCCTATATCAAGCACCAACTTTCAAAAACAACCGGTTTAACACAAAATACGTTTATTGTCTTTTATTTCACTATGTATGGGTCACAAGAGAAATATTAAGGGAATAAATGAAAACAGTTAGCTATATACCTGTCACAAATCCTGTCCATGGACTTCCGTTCAATCACCACCAGAGGTCACCCTTTCATTACATTGACTCTCACACAACACAAACTGTTGCATATCACCCCTGACTACATATCCCATCATTCATTGCACTGATTTCACACAGCACTGATTGCACACAGCTGTTTCACTAATTGCACACAGCACTGATTGCACAGCTGTTTCATATCACTCACTCACTACATAACACTCACTCAAACTACCGTTCTCTGCTGAGTATTGTTTAGCCCGTACCCTGTTCGGAGTCTCTGTGTTTCCTTGCCTTGCCTTGCCTTGCCTTGCCTTGCCTTGCCTTGCCTTGCCTTGCCTTGCCTTGCCTTGCCTTGCCTGCATTCTCGGTTTCTGATCCTTGATCTGTTTCCCTGGATTTATCCCTCTCGTCTCGCCCCTGTGATTCTGTCTGCCGATCGTTGACCTACGCTAGCCCTAGGACTATTCTTGTGTTTTGCCCGCCACATACCTGTTTGCCATTGTTCGACCCTGCCTGTTATGACCACGTCTCTGAAATAAAAGCTTGCAGATGGATCCACACGTCTCAGCCCCGTTACAATACCGTTATCAGCATATGTTGAAGTAGATTGGTCTCTCGTCGTCTCTGAGAGAATATGCGGCGTCAGATGCCGAAAGCTCTGTCATTCCGTTTTTACTTTCACTTTCTGCATCGTGAATTGACTAAGATTAAGACGTTCACTGGCATAACTTTTGCACAAATTTTGCACGTTGCTTATGTGATATCCATTGGCTTGCCTTCATGGTTTAAAACAAAAATATTTCCAACATTGCGACGTAAGAAATCGTCCGTATCGAACCGTATCGAAAATGTACCAAAAACATACCGAACCGTGACACCACTGTCGTATCGAACCGACAATAAAAAGTTGTAATAAAAATACAAAAAGCAAAGTTATAAATATAAAAAGCAATTAAAAATTGCATTCAATATTCAGGATGTGACATTTATGGTAAGCATCAAACTGAAAGATTCCAGCATGTCCAGCTTTCTCATAAGCTGTAGCTTAAATGTGACCTTTCTGAGTTGTAAATGATTCAGTATGTTTCATAATGGACAGGAGAGAGTGAAACAGATAAAACCAAGTGTATGTATCAGACATAACAGACAGACAGGAAGGAAGTCAGACACTCACTCAGTTCGGAGATGCTGCCCACACATGTAGCCAGTAAGGCCTGTTCGAGTGTCCGCAGCTCCAGTTCAGCGTACGCATCCTCTCTGCTCTCCAACCCCGTCTGACATCCCTCTGTGTATGGACTGAAATGAGCCGGAAGTGACAGAACTCCTAAAATACAATGACAGGAAACTCATCAAGACAAAGTGTTAATGACACTTTTAGCATTGTGGTCACAATTACAATCTCTTGGTGACATTTTGTGGATAAACTAGTACAAGTAATGTGAGTTATGTAATCAGATTACTTTTTAAGTAACTAGTAAAGTAACACATTATTTTTAAATGTACAATGAAATGCACACATTAGGCAAAAGAAAGCTGCTTGGTTTGAAAGTGGCTTCTGTCTGAAGTCACTTTTTGAAAGTGGCTTCTGTCTTCATATATCCTTTTTGGTCATTTTTGTGAAATTTTGCTAATGTGGCCGCACCTTAATCCAAAACATCCATCTCTCCCTCCTTTCCCTAAAAAATGTTAGTTACAGTGAGGCTTACAATGGAAGTGAATGGGGCCGCTTCTTAATCATTTAAATACTTGCTGCAAGCAAAATCGCATACTACTATTTGGTAGATATTACATTTGATAAAGGACTTACATCGCAACCAAAAAAGTATGTTCTATATGAAATGTGCCTGATATGTGTAGTGAATACAATTCATGCATACTACATTTGTTATGTTGGCTTTGTCTTGTGCCCTACGGCATCAATTGTGTCACTTCGCAGCCATTCACGCCTCCTTTCCCGTGGCCGCATGGGATAGTCATGTTTCCATTGAATCTTGGCCGATGTAATAGGTTACTGGAGTCATTTTTGTACATTGTATTCCAAATATTATGTATTCGGACATACTACTCTTTTAGTGTACTGTTTGTCACGTACTGTACAGTAGGGTAATGTACAGTATGTTAAATATTTTGGGATACTGCATAAAAAAACACATGGGATGGTAACAGTGCTCATTCAAAAATGTTGTATGCTATATTCTAATATCACATACAGTTAAAATCGCACCTTTGGATGGAAAAGTAGCTAGTTTCAATACCACAGCCACAAGATCTAAGTGCTTTGATCAAATTATAAGCTTCACATTGCTGCTGTTACATCCTCCAAATATTGGCCCCATTTACGTCTACTGTGGTACTCAATACACCACAAATGCAGTCGATGGAGTTTAACCCGGACTATTCCTTTAAGCGACTAAAAGTCTCCATCCAGAACATTTAGAAGTGCTTTTCTACCCACAGGACCAGTTTCTAGATAAGCCCATGCTTTCTGCTTCTGTCATGTACAGGGTGAAGATTCAAGACTTTTACAGATGAGGGTGGCTCCAGCCTTCATGAATACAGTCTGTTTATAATACCACAGTGTGGTAAGAGTAAAGCACTATGGGAATGACTCCTCAGACACTCACGAACACTGGCATCATAAATTCCAGTAGACAAAAGCTAAACGTTTGTTTATAGTAAACACCCTCTTCATGGTGTCTGTGATTTACGTTTATTACAGCACATTTACAGCTTCAGGGTGGCTCACTAACAACACTCTTAAAGGTGACATTATATCAAATAGAAGAAAATCCCCTTTTTTACATACATGAGATCCTATACTAAAGATCTTTCCAAACACATCAGCTAAATACTAGGGGCTTCTGAATGGTTCCAGGGTGTGACTAAGCGGTTCCTATGGTATTATATGTGGTTGAAAAGGTGTTCCTAGGACACTGCTACATGTTTTATGGGTGACTGAGTGGTTGCCAAGTCCTTTGTTTTTAAGGTGTTGTGGATGGTTACTTGAGTTTTGGAACTGTACACAGCTGCTTTGGCATTTGGGGTGAATTATGAGGTGTTACTATGTGATTGTGAAAGTAATGTCTGCAAAAGTGTCCTGTGTGGTCATTGGGGTGTTTTGAGTAGTTGCTAGAGTGTTGCTAGTGTATTCTGGGAGATTACTACAGTGTTTTAGGTGATTGTTAATGGGTCATTAGTGTGTCACTAGGGTGTTTTAGGTGATTGTTAATGGGTCATTAGTGTGTCACTAGGGTGTTTTGGGTGGTTAATAGATGGTTTCTAGTCTGTTCTGGGTGTTTGTACAGTGTTTTAGGCCAGTGGCTCTCAACTGGTTTGGCCATAGGACCCACAGTTTCACATGGTCACTAAGCCGTGATCCAATTTTTTTAGCAGTTTGACCTAATTCCTAACAAATTAGGAATCAATTTACAAAACCAAGCAAGTTTATTTTATATATTTTATAGGTAAGGCTATTTAATAGCAGTCCCAAACTAGTTTGTTAATACACTAAAGTTAGCAATTGGTATGAGCCACAACACTCATTTAAAAATATCCAAAATATTTTGGTATGTTTGTGGTTATGAATGTAATGAATAGAATGAACATCATACCTGTATGCAAATTCTTCCCAGCTAACACCCATAACTCTGTTATTGTCTTCTTGCATTACTGACAAACTATTTTCCTGTTTGACACTGTAAAGCTGCTTTGACACAATCGTATAAAGTGCCATTTAAATAAAGGTGACTTGACTTGACTTGTTATAATGAATAATGACACTGACATATAACCTGGCAACATCTCATCTGACCGCAGATATTGAATTAGCATTTTTCTCAGGCGCTCACTTCTCATCAGAAGTGTCAACAGCTTTCATGCACGTTTTTCAAAATAAAAGCATCACAAACAAAGAATTACGTGTGTTGTTGTTTCTTTGACTACTCACTTCACAACCCACGCAAAACGGCCTTGCAGTTAAGAAACACTGTTTTAGGCGATAGCTAAAGGCTACTATGTTCAAGGTGGTCTCTAGGGCAGGGGTTTTCAACCTGTGGGGCCCCAGGGGGGCGTCAGCACCTGTCAAGGGGGGCGCGAGCATCAGTTAATTCAGAGACGTTCCCTTGAGAATTTATGAATACGAGTTAACAAATCTTTAGCCATCCACTAGGGGGCAATCTGACTCCCACTGCTAGTCGACAGTTAGAGCAGATTTGGCTCGAGTATCAGTCACGCTCAGTGTTGCCAAGTCCGCGGTTTTCCCGCGGAATTACGCTACTTTAACACTTACCGCGTTTTGTAGTTTTGGGCTAGTTTTGAGTAGCAGTTAGGCGGGTTTTGTTGTGAAAACCTGGCAACCCTGGTCACACTTATTGAAAGTGTAAGATGATTTACGATTAGCCATGTCGGAAATCCAACCACGAATCGGCATGTTGTTATCTCAGAAACAGGCTCAGCCATCACATTGAATCAGGTAAACTGGTAATATATTTATGTTTCAGTATAATTACGCACGCTATACCCAGGGGCGGTTCTTAAGTCTTGTCAGTTTAAACATTAAAGTAATTTTAAGCCATTTAAGCCTAAAACATCTCAATGCGGTACTCACGCACAGTGATAAAGCGTTTCTATGCGCACCGCTCACACACCTGAAGTGCACAAACAGATAGCCTTCTCAGACAGCAGGTGAATACCAATGGCTGTCTTGACAAGTATCCTTGTAAGCACAGTCGGTTGTTTTAAGTGAATGTAAA